ACCCATCGCATCAAGATGAATTTCGGCATCAAGCACCCAAGACATGTAGCTTTTGCCCGATATATCCAGGGCTACAAACTCAAGTTTAGAAAGATTTGACATTATTTAGAAAAAGAAAGTTCGTACCTCTGATACTTTCAAAGTATTTTCTCGAGATGGCAGAGTCTCGTTCTGATAACGTGTTATAAAATAAAGATAGTAAAATAAAGACAAGTATAGAGAAACTGATATATTATTCAAACTTCAAACTTATGTACATAATGAGCTGAATTCTCCTCTATTTATAGAAGAAATGAAGCTGCTGTGTAAGCTGATACTGCAAGCTGCTGTGTAAGCTGATCTTTGCCCTCTCTTTGCCCTATTCTACCAAATGAAAGACATTAATATAAGTAATCAAAAAGAAGCATCGAAGGATGCAGCTTTAAAGGATAATAAAATTGAGCGAATGATAATAGACCAATGTTTATATTTTAAAGGAGGCAAAAGATTGTTGTGTAAAATGCTTTTTCATTTATTTAAGTTTTAATGGAAAGAGTTGTTCGATGTTCACGAATAGTATTGATAGACCAAAATAACCCTAAAATATTAAACACAAGAACTCATAGTGAAAGGACATAATTGTAATAATCTATTTTTTGGACTACAATACCTTTTATGTTAATTTTTTAATATTTAATATTTTAAAATTAATAAATTTTGTCTATTAAATTATTTCTTATTAAAAATATGCAGGAAGGTTTAATAATACCAATTTCATAAGAATCCTCCGTATTGTCTATACATTACCACTCCATAATGTCCAATACCAACAAAAAAGTAATGTTAAATGAATTACATAAAGTATTGAAATTGAGAAAAGAATATCCTCATAATAATATATTTTTATATTATATTTGAATTTTGAACTGCTTTTCTACTCAAATAATATTTTTTTATTATTAAATTTTCATATAATATTGAAAAATATACTAAATTATTAAAAATTAACTAAGAAAATATTTAAAAATATAAATGTGTGAGAAAAAAAGAAAAATAGTTGGTAAAAGTCAATACCACTAACGATTTTGCAAACATAAAGATCTAAAAGTAAATATCAGATCGATCTTTTTACTATTTGAAAATAAAATTTATGGTGGATAAAATTATAATTACGATTAAATATTCAAGACATGAGATAAACTAATATTAAGAATTTAAATAAACATAAAATAAATTATTCTTTGTGTTTAGACCAAGTAACTAAATCTTTTAATTAATTAATTAGCAAGAGAGTGCAATTCAGTTATTTTTTAAATTTATTATATGAGTAAAATTATTTTTTAAGTTAAAAAAACTCTTAGGATAGATAAATTTATCCCATAAAAAGAGCGTTAGAGATTAAAAAAATTTAGAACATAAAGTAAAAAAAAAAAAAAAAAAAAAAAAGGTTAGTATAGTATTAAGAATCAAAAGGCCATACACATGTCTGAAGAAGTACAATCAAAGATGATACAGGTCAATGTGCTTCTAAGTATATATTTATCCCTGAATTCACCCGAAACTAAAGGGTATCCTTTATATTTGTGTGAAAATAATTTTCAGTATGTTTATATTTTACAATTATAATAAGTAAATCACAAGGACAAATATTCTAAATATTGGTTAGACTTGATTAGATGCCAACACCTATAGCCATGTCCAACTTTATTAAAATGCACTCTACTTTGTTTCTCTATTCTATAATTAATTATTTTTTCTTCTTTGTATCATGTTATTGATATGTATATATAAAGGATGTGTAACTTTACAACAACAATAACAATAATCCAATATAATTTTACAAGTGATGTTTGAAGAGGATAGTGTGTAGACAGATCTTATCCCCTACCTTGTGAAGGTAGATAAACTATTTTCAAAAGACTATCAACTCAAAAAAAAGAAGCATAGTCACCATATAATTAAAAAGAAATACACGAATGGAGAAGTCATGTAAAAAAAACAGTAACAAAAAGTAATAACAACAACATGATAATAAGGCAATCAAAGAAAAAAGATAACTGGTAGTAATAGAAATTTATATATAAGAAAATGTGCAACTTAACAAAATTCATTGTTTTATTATCTCTATTTCAATTTAGATGATTTAGTTTAACTTGACACAAAGTTTAATAAAAAAGAAGAATACTTTTAAAACATATGGCGCTAAAAATTTAAGGGACAAAAGCTTAGTGGGTCATGATATTTGTGTGGTTATAAAAGCTTCTCATTAAAGGTAAAACGAGTAAAAAGAAAAGTTCACACTTAAATTAAATTATTTCTAAATAGAGAAATATCAGTTTTTGAAACGAACTAATAAGGAATGTGTGTCGTTTAAATTGAAGCACATAAATTATCATTTTTGTGGTGGTCAAAACTTTGATGGACCAAGCTAAGCTAGCATTTGGCCATAGATTCCCAAATTTATTTTAAAAAACTTAATTTGGGTGAAGTTTGGTTTGAAGATGAAAATCTATTTGGACATAATTTTTTAAAAATATATTTCACTTTTTTTGTTTGTTGAAAAAGCATGAAATGTGGCTTATACCCATAAGTTCTAAAAACTATCAAAAATACCGAACAATACCAAATAAATAAATTTGCTAATCCTGTATATGCAGAACCTTCACCGATGCCATTCGTTATTACTATCACAAACCATAGTCCTGAACATAGTTAAGTTTGGCACAAAATTATCATTTTTATAATGAACTACATAATATACTATCCTAAAGTCATAACCTGATATTTTATTGTCAACTGCTAATAACACAATTACTAGCCATTATAATTCAGCAAATTATAATATTATTAAAAGATCTATCAGTCCAAAAGAAAATGATAGTAATTACCTAGTAGATTAGTTGGGTCATAATAGATGATGAGCATTTTTATAAAATATAAAAGTTTGAGGTAATTTTTACAATTGTTAAAAAAATCAAATAGTAATATTTTGGGCAAAAAACAGGTCTAGAGCTAGTTTTGGGATTTGAAAATTTTCTTTTCAAAATCTGCCAAAACATAGATAAAATCTATAAACAAATATGTTTTGCCAATTGTTTTTGAAAAAAACTTATAAAATCTATGACCAAATGGGCTAACCAAACTAACGTGTTATCAAGTTCAGTCAAAAGAAGGTCAAACCTAGTATGTACGCTCCCTTGCAATATGATGTATGAACCTTTACCAACATGACGACGTACCGACTTCAGAGATAAATTTAAAATTATATTTATTTCATATTTAATTATGTGTATCATCTAATATTGATATAAGTTTTATACCAAAAATGTTTAATTATCCCATATTGAACATGAAATAATAATTACAAAATTATAATCTTGATATTATTAATCTCAAGATATCCCAAATTGGAACCAAACGACCTCTCAAGATAATGGCAACCACCTCGGATAATCAAAGAGTTCTTACTCATATAGACTCTTAAGAAAAAGGACTCTAATCCCCATCTTAAACTCTGAAACAACCACTGCATCTTAAAATCCTATTGAATTACTCTCTTCTTGGCTTCTCTTTGCTGTAAATACGTTATTTTAGCCATTTTAGTTTTAAAATTGAATTGCTTAAATGAACTTAAGTTCTAAAAATATTGGTATTTGTATAAAATATTTATTTTTTGTAGGATTTTGATGTTTTCACATTGAAAGTATGATGTACAGGGAATAAATAAATTCTAATTTAATTTAACTCTTAAAAAAGACAGCCCAGTGCATAAAGTATTTCGCGTTCATGCAAGATCCGAGAAAGGACCGCACCCCAATGAGGTGTGATGTAGGCAGTCTATACTTATGCATGCATCAGAGCTCAAACCCGTGATCTATAGGTAGGGGTATCAATGGATATTTAAAAATCGACTAAACCGACCGAACCGTACCGTACCGCACCGAACTGATTTTTAGGTTTCTTTTAATAAAACCGTAGATTTTTATGTAAATCTAAACCGTACCGATAATTTGGGTAGGTTTTTTTATTTTATGAAAATAAACCGAAAAATAACGAACCGTACCGAATAAATTTACATATGAAAAATATATTTATATATTAAGTTTAAAAATAATAAAGCACTAATTTTTTTTGTGGGTCTAGAATTATGAAAATGGGTACAAGCCAACAGGTAATTAAGATCAAAATCCTAATTTTCAAATCAATTATGCTACTTCTACTGAAACTAGCAATTGAATATGTTTCATTTCGTATGATTTAGATTTATGTTTTTGAATATTTAATTTTCTATAGACTTTATTTTTGTATCCCAACTTGGTTAAAATCTTTCTACTTGTGTGATTTATCTTCTTCTTTTTTTTTTTTTTTTTTTTTTTTACGTATAAATGATTTGAGTCAAAAGTTATAAATTGAGTTCCGCTCGCTAAGAAAGCTATACCATTCGCNTTTTTTTTTTTTTTTTTTGTCTTTACATAATTTCTTTTACGTATCTTTAGAATAGTTGATGGATCTACACTCTGGTCATCTTTCATGTTTTCATAATTCATCACCATTTAAACAGTAAAATTGTCTAAAGAGTTTTGCTAAGTCGTATAAAAGTATGTATGTTATTGCATTCTATTTTTATTAGTAACTTTTACATGACATTTGAAAAAATACCAAAAATTAACCGAACAGTACCGATACCGAAGAAAAACCGACATGATTGGGACGGTTTCAAAAAGTTTAATTTTAGTTATACATAATAGAATAACCGAAAAATTGGTATGATACTAATTTTATAAAATAACCGACGAACCACTTATACTCTATCTATAGGTCATACAGAGACAATTTAATCGTTAATTTTACTCTTATTTTTCCTCAAAATAATTAAAACAAAGAGAGCGTGTGAGTAATCTTTTTTCCTTCCGTTGTCTATTATATCTCACTCAAATGTCCCACACACTTGCATAATATAAGGTATGTAATGATTGCCCGAATATAAGACCAACCCATCATTGCCTTTTATAACATGGTTTAAAATCTTTGCCAGCTTCTTCCTAATAATTCCCAAAAATAAACACACAAACAAACCATTTCTAAATGCCAAATTATCCTAATAATAAGCCTCCTTTTAATCTTTATATTCTCTCTCATCAAACACTTTCTCTCTTTACTTAAAAAAACCCTAACCACTTTTTCTCTCTCCCTCTTAAAAAGAAGTTCCAACATAGTGGAAGCCCAAAGTGAAGCAGTGTGGATATATAGTAGTGAGGAAAAAAGAAGAAGATATATAGTAGTGAATGTTGTCATTTGCACACAAAAATCACAAAAATGGATACATATGAAGCAACAAAGACAGTTTTGTCAAGAATCCAAAGTTTGGATCCAGAAAATGCTTCAAAAATCATGGGTTATATACTAATTCAAGACCAAGGAGATAAGGAGATGATAAGGCTAGCATTTGGGCCAGAAACTGTGTTAATCTCTCTCATTAACCAAGTGAAAAATCGTTTAGGACTTTCATCGAACAGTTCATCTGCACCTTCAACACCTTCATCTCCTTCACCGTTTATTCCCGTTCCAAACCCCAATAAATTCAACCCATTTCCCCATTCATCACCAAGAATCATTATACCAAACAATGGGTTTCAATCTTTGCCTTCATCTCCTTGGTCTGGTGGCTCCCCAGTGTTTTCAAGAAGTCCAAGACCAGTGTCATATGCTTCTGTAGTGAATGGTCCAAACTCAAATACTGCTTCTGGCTCTTCAGATTCTTCTTTATCACTACCTTTTTTCGAGCCAAGTGATGAATATTGCAATATTCAAGTTCAAGATCAGTTGTCATTTCTAAATGAGTCGTTTCTTGAGGAAAGCAGTCATCAAAGTGGTGTTTTTCTTGGTGGGTCCCATGATGATAATAATGGTGGGTTTGGTGGTTGGAAGCCTTGCATGTATTATGCAAGGGGATTTTGCAAGAATGGGAATAGTTGTAAGTTTCTGCATGATGGATTTGGGGAGGAAAATACTCCGAGCAATGTTGATTATTTTGATGAGATTTTGCGTGTGAAAGCTTTACAGCAACGGCAGAGATTTATGGCTTCCGGTCATCATCATCATCATCCATTTGGTTACAACAGGTGCATGAAAGATATTTTGATTGGCATTGGGTCTGATTTTTTGCTTGTGTTTTTTGCTTTTTGGTTGAGAAAATTGTTAGATTTTGGTGTTTTCTTGAATCTTGGTTTTTGGGTCTTGCATTATTATAATGTCTTTCTTTTTATCATATGTATAGTACTCTTATAACAAACAATAATCTTTTATAACGTGGTGTCCGCACAGGCATGTGCTCTTCTCGACTACTCACCAAATTTGGAACAGATTAAAAAATGTTGGAGTTTAAACTCGAGAGACCAATTTTCCCATTTTTTTTTAAAAGATTTTGAATGTATCTAATGGATAGTTAAACTATTCAATATCAATACTTAGATTGAGATAATGAAAAATTATTTCACCTTTTCAGTTGGAATTTTAGAGGGTTAAAAAGAAGGGTATTTTATTTTTGTGCTAGTTGATGGGCATTAGGGCTGCTATATTTGCTTGGGCTGGTAGTTTCTTGAGAAAAGTTGTTGACTGGTGTTTTCTTGAATTTGGGTTTCTGGTTCTTGCATTTTCCAATTTCTTGCAAATTTCATGCATAGTATAATAACCTATATTTCCTTCCAAGTAATTTTCCTTACATTGACCCATTTCCCACTTTCAGGAGGTTCAGTACTTTGACTGAGGTAATGAAAAATAAATATCACCTTGGAACTTTAGATTGTTCTTCTGGGGCTAGTTGGTGGCATTTAACTGAGTTTTGGTGTGTGTTGGTTGTATTTGAAGGAAATTTATTAACTTTAGTGTGTTCTTGAATATGGGTTTGGGTCTTGCATCGTTTCAATTATTTATTTGTTAACCGATTTTTAGCATAGTATACCGACTCATTTTTTGTTTGGTTAAAGATGGTATATCTGTCTAAATATAGGCATGAAGTTTTGAGTTATGTTATTGTTATGGTCTGAATTGCAGATCGGCTGCGGCCGCATTGATGACAAGTGGTGAGTTCTACAAATATGGTCGGTCCCTACCCGACAGAAATGAATTTTCAGCAATGGCGCTAGGTGGGATTTCGAATTCTAGTTCGAGACAGATTTACTTGACATTTCCTGCCGATAGCACATTTAAGGAGGAGGATGTGTCTAATTACTTTAGGTTTGTTATTCTTGCTTTTTATTCGATCAATGAAATCTTCAAATTAGAATGAAATATTGATGTTAGATGGTCCTTGATTTGTTTTTTAGTATGTACGGCCCGGTGCAAGACGTTAGAATTCCATATCAGCAGAAGCGAATGTTTGGATTTGTTACATTTGTCTATCCAGAAACCGTGAAGATTATCTTGGCCAAAGGGAACCCTCATTTTGTGTGTGATTCTCGCGTGCTTGTTAAACCATACAAAGAAAAGGGAAAATTCCCAGACAAGTATGGAAACACAATCTTTGTCTTCTGTTATGATGATTTGTGATTCATACTTTTGTGCATGACTAATTTTTCCATTCTCAATCGAATTGAAGGAAGCAATTTCAGCAACAGCAGCAGCCTATTGATAGAGGAGAGCTCGAGTCCGGGGAGCTCTATGATATTCCCTTTGGTAAGAAAATGAGCTAGATTACTTTTTCTTCTTTAGTTGTACGACGGAGACGGTTGAAAGTGCCTTTTTGTTCAGGAGCAAGGATGTTTCATAATTCGCACGCGATGATGTTGAGAAGAAAAATAGAGCATGATGCTGAGTTGCAGCAAGCAATTGAGCTTCAAGGCAGAAGGTTAATGAATTTGCAACTGATGAAGAACCAACATCACAATAATCACTTCCAACCCAGCCTCTCTCCGGGTGTTTTTTGTTCGTTTAATGGCATCAACCAAGAAGTCTTAGCAGGTTAACACTTGGAACACTTTATTTTTTTTTCTTCATTTTTAAGTGTTGGCTGATTCTTTTTCCTGCAGAAAACAAAGGTTTCCAGGAACCCACCGAGCCCCCATCTGATGCAGCCGATGATAAGGTACCTCAGGAGCTGCTACATACAAATAATGGAAATGGAGGTTCCAATAAGGAGCAGACCTCGAATACCGATGATTCTTATCCTCGAGAAAGGTATTAAACATCAATTTCGTTGCTGAAATTTCAAGGTTCATCAACATGAAGTTCTCAGTTGTGGTGCTATATTTAAGCCTTTTCATATAGTTTCCACATTCAAAGCTGATGGTGTTGCTTCTTTGCAATGTAGTGTGTATTGGTGCAATTCTGTGGTTATTCTCTTAGATATTCTTTCTAATGTGTCTGAGATTTCTTTGTCATTGAAACAGCTTGGAGCACATCCTTCCTGATAACTTATTTACTTCTCCCACGAAATCGGTTGCAGAACAACATGTCGCGTTTTCCATTGATTCAGCTGAAGCTGACGTTAGTTCCGCGATGACAACGCCAGCAACAACACCAACAATAACTACTAACAGCGTCCCTATGCCTCCCGCCACTTCTGCTCTTCAACATTACGTCTCTTAAATGATGTTGCTTCCAGATGCCAAGGCAGTACTTAACAGTGTCCGTGTTTTTTCTCTTTGGTTTTAAGAGAGGATACTTAATCTGAGGTTGTTATTACCAGGTTTTACTTCTGAGAAGCCCCTGAAACTTAGGTTTTAGAGTTCAGCATGACTATGGAGGAGTGATTAACTTGAATTGGTAAGAGAACTTGCTCTATTTGTAAATTAGATTCCCTTGTCATATATCACCTAAAAGGGCTGCCTGGTGCACTTGCCCCTGCTATGCGTGGGGTCCGGGTCTATTATATGCAGCCTTACCCTACGTTTCACCAAGAGGCTATTTCCACTGCTTGAACCCGTGACCTCTTGGTCACAAGTCAGCAATTCTACCAGTTACGCCAAGGCTCCCCTTCGTTGTCATTTATCATCTACATATATGTAATATACTTTTCATGTTGTCATTTATCATCTACATATATGTAATATACTTTTCATTTTGTGTTTGTTTATGCAGACAGGTTGGTAGCATCATAAAATACAAGTAGTTGAAGCCCTCTAGCTGTATAGCCAAACACAACAGAAGAAAAGATCTGTAAGGAAGATCTCCACAAGATTACTGCCATCATCAAATACCATACTACTTACAACAAATACATATAATGCATAGGTAAAGAACAGATGAACTGATTCATGGGAGTGGGGTCTCTCTGTTTATTCTGTGTACCCTCTTTTGTTGTTGTGTGCTGTGGACCATACCATAACAAAGGCTAGTAGAGTAGTAGTAGTAACCCTTAGATATTATACTGTAGTAGTAGTTTTTTCTCTTCCCCCCTCTTAATTATAGCTTGCTGTCATGTAAAATTTAGTGTAGGAAAATGAATATCTTTTAGATTACCATGTTTTTTGCCAAATGAATGTATAGATTTAGCTTGGTTAAAAGGTGTCTTGAACCTGTTGCAGCTAGTTGATTGAATGAGAAATCCTAAAGGAAAATGAAAGGTAAGACCGGTAAAGATCACCCACTTTTTCATTTTCCAATCATTCATTAGGGAAGGGGGTTATATTAGGAAAAAGGCAAAATAGGGGAAAAATGGGAAAGGGGAAAAAGGGCACTAGAAGGTGTAGTATGGTGATCAATGATGTGGATAGAGTATCACGAGGTCTTATTATTAAATTTTGTAGGCAAAAGATATTAGATCATTTCTATTCAAGTCTTACTCGATACATATATGATAATTATAGCCACACTTATAAAAAAAGAATACCTTGTCACGATTATTAAAAAAAAATGAAGTGGAAAGAAGGGTAAAGGGTGGGGTGAAAATGAAGTGTGTTTTTTTATGCATTAAAAGGCAACTTTAGGGGACTATTTTGTCTCATTTTATGGTCTACTTTATGTGGACATGAATGGTGAAGGGCCATATTATCACATGGCTACTGACACCATTTGAATTCGTATTTTAGGGCACTCACCCTCACTCATTAGGCTCCTTTCACTTTGTGTCCCTTCTGTTTTGTCATTCTTTACTTACTGTGCACATGTGCTCCAAACTTGATCCTTCCCCAACAACTAATTCAGTAAATGTGTCCTATTTGTGCACACTTTTTGTTGGGCTTCAGCTATCTCTTACCGATACAGCTACCAAGTATACATGAAGAAATCAACTCGCCCTTTTGTTTATATCGGTAATTAGCTAGCATTTGAACATAGATTTTGTGAAAATTTAAATTTTTTTCTTGAAGTTGTATCGAAAAAATAATTTTTGAAAGTTGAAGTTTTGTTTGGACATGCATTTGAAGTTTTGTGAGTGGAAAAAAGAATTCATCCAAAAATTGGCAAAATATTTTCTTCAAATGTTTTTTAAAAACTAATCAAATTCCACGAACAAACAATATTTTTAATTTTTTTTTTTGAAAAGAATAGCCAAAATTTATATCCAAATGGGAACTTAGACTCCATTTTCTCATGGTTTCAACCCCATTTTACTTTATTACCAGACTAAATCATTTGGTGTTCTATAAATATGTCTTTGTTTTGCTATTTAGTTTTCTACTGGGAAAATTATTTTGAAGTGTAAAAGTATAAAATGATTATAGTTATATCATTGAATTTGGTGGAGATTCTCAGGTGGATACTCCTGTTTCTTTGTCTCGTAATTCTCCAATGAGTTCAAGAAAATGGACTGGTCAAATGGAAACAAAATGGGAACTTTACATAATTATCACAGTTTAAAAGAAATATAATAAATTCTTTGCATGAAACTAAATATTACAGTTGTGGCAGGAAAAAATTTATATTTGTAGCACACAGTTCTATTAAAATAGTAATATTAATTATTAATCCCTAAACATAAGTAATTTGAATGGAAAGTCAATAATTCTTTGTACAAAAATCATGCATTTTTTTCTCTTTATCTATTAGCTTTCCTTCTTTTTCTTCATCTTCTTAATTTTGTTTTCTGCCGAAACTAATATATTTTCTAAATTTGTTCCATTCGTTTTATTTTTAATTATCTTTGTTAAGTTTTTCTCTTCCTTCTTTCTTCCTTTCTTAATATAAAGATCTTATTTCGATAATAATATACGTTAATATATACAAAACGTATATAAAAAAATATACATTGAATTAACACATATAAAATATACAAAAAAATATACATAAAAAATACATC